GCTGTTACCACCTCGCTCATGGCGTGCTTGTGGAGACCTCGCCTGGCTTGCAGCATCAGCGACCCCGCCGTGGAGCTGCAGCTCTCGGTGGCCGCAGCCAGACCCAGGAGTGCCAAGGTCAACCCAGCGAAGCAGGATGCCATGGCTAGCAAGAGAGGTTGTGCGATTGAAGCTGCAGCAGCTAGGAAGTTCGACCAATTGCTTGAGCCGTGGCAATGTCGGGTTCTTGCGCCTCACATGCCATATCAATCGGCACAAGTTAAACAGCTGAGACGGCAACTGCTCCTTGGTCGGGGTGATGGTGGGCCTCAGACTTCCCGCACCCAGAATCCACGAGCAAACAAAACTCAACAAATAACAACGACCTGCTTGAGGATCCGCCTCGTTGTGAACAAGCCAAACTCTACAAGTGCCGCAAAGGGTCCACAAGACCGCAACGAGAGTCGGTGGAGGGTAGTGGGGGATTGCTGATGCTGCTGCTGTTAAATTTCTGGTTGCCAGTACTGTGGTGGCGGTGTCACCCCCAAAGTAATGCAAGGCTACCAGGACTTTTTGCCTCCCGCCTGGCTAGGCGAACCTACCAGGGCTTAGTCTTCGTATGTGCGGTGCGCTTCTTGTCTACTCGTAGCAGTATCACCTGGCAGTTCCGAAAGCCGTGGCATTGGCTCTTTGAAGATCGAGCCGATGCGAGCACCGGCCGCCACAGCGTCCTCCAAGAGCCCCGGAGCGGAGACTTTCGGCACAGGGACGGTACAAGTCAGCATCATTCAAGTGGATGTAAGTGCATTTAATGATTTCGGATCGCTCCGGTTTGACCCTCACCACTTGGTGAATAGGGTTTGGGACTCTCGCAACTCGGGCAACGCAGGTGAGGCAGAAATTTAGGGTTGGGTTCTTCATTGGCGTTGAGGGTGCAGCCAAGCCTTGCCTGTGCTTTTCCTCCTGACGAGCCTGCTCTCAATGGCCGCTCAGCCGGCTTTTCGACTGGTAAGTCACTGGTAAGTCTGTCAAACAAAGGTGGGTGGGTCCCTTCCGCTGCGTCTGAAAGTTTCGAGGATTCAAAAAGATTGCCGCGAATGGAGGCGAAGGGGCCCACTCACTTTCCTGGCTATCAGACACCCTCGTGCTCAAGGGATGTATCTCTGAGGCCAGTAACATCGTCTGGGTTATGCACAGGGGGCAGTCGATCGTCAACTGCACGACTCATGGTAGGAAGAAGTCTCGAACAGTCTCAACAGCAACCTACAACTGCGACCTTGCAACGTGCAGTCAACCACCAACCACAGACGCACGGACAACTTGATGAGCCGAAAAGCACTTGACTGTCAATCTTTCTGTTGAGGGCAAACAATTTCGCTTCGTAGTACCTCAGAAGAGCCAGCGCTGCCACGTCACGATGATTGACACGCCTGAACTGCGTCCGATAAGCGAGCTACGGTGAGACAGTTGCCCAAAAAGTTCAAAAGCTTCTTTGCTGCGTGCTGCTGCAACGAGGGCCTTGCCGCGCTCTCACATGGGCAAGGCCGTCAGGTGGGCCCTCTTAGCTGTCTCGAGAGCAATGTTAAATGTTTATTCAACATGCCGTGGCCGAGGCCCAGATTGCACTGAATGTGGCCCGCGACCTAAACCTAAATTGCCATGATCGTCTCTGACACTTGATCGAAAGATGTTCGGCAAGTGGGGCATGATGCTGCCTTCCCCGATGCTACGCACCAGCGAGCGATGCACTCCTGGTGATAGATGTGGCCACAGGGAAGGAGAGCAACATCGCTGTCCATGTGATAGTCTTCCAAGCAACAGGCACAAGCCCTTTGACAAGAGATGGCCCCAGTCAGCCTGTGCCCAACCGTGGTGAGCGTGGTCCAGGTAACGATGTTGTCGAGGTCGCTGGAGTCGCTAGGGCCAGGGTCGTTCTTGACCAACAGGAGGCTGAAGACCGGGCGGGTGCAAGCTTCCAGTTCTCCGAACTTGCAAGCTGCCCAAACGCAATGCTGCTCTTTCTGCATCTCCATGGCATCGGCAGTGTCGGGTCGTGCCTGTGCAGCTGTCTTCGTGAACACGACGACGAACAACAGCAGGAAAAGGAGCACAGACACCGATGCACAGACCACCATGGGCCAATGGGCGCCTTTCACAACTCCCACCAGCATGCTGAGAATAGAAAGGATGACGAGGACGAGTCCCCACACCACCAGCTTTGTGTTGCTGCACTGCACCGACGCGGCCATGGCTCTGTAAGGCTGAATGCAACAGGATCCCCAAGGCCAAGATACAGTACCGGGCAGCTCGTCATGCACTGAAGCCGAACTCCAATAGACTGGTCCTGTGCGTGCCTCCAACTTTAAGCCTGGTGCTGCCGGATCCCAAAAGAGCTGCCCTCGAGCATATGTCTGGGAGTCTAGGCTTCGGATTGGGGTTTTCAGCTTGGCATGTGGCCGTCGCATTGTCCGTTTGGCGTTTGGCTTGTTTGAGGTGTGTCTAGCTCTCACACTCAAACAGTCGGATGTGGTGGCACTGCAGTGACCTCAAGAAGACATGGTCGACTGCCACCCAGGAACGAACTCAGCGACTGCAACACGCACAATCCTAATGTCCCGGCTCTGCTTCCTCTGGCAATGCTCCAGCTTAGACTGCTGTGATACTGGGCTGCTGCTTTGCAGTGTCTCTCGGGCGGCCACTATCTACAGCATGGCAGCAAGACTCTGCGCTGCACACATGGCAGACGCAATCCTTAACCCTGTGTTGCAGCTATGTGCTATCATTGACTGCGCGCTCCTTGAGGACTTTGTCGTTGGTCTGGTCCCGCGCCTGCAGTCGGCCATGACTTCTGTGCGAACGAAGTCTCGCCCTATGGGCTCCCGGTATCTTTTTCAGCTCAACCCGGCGCAGCCCAACGGGCTCGGCTCCTCCGTGCGCCTTCTGCTCTGTCTGGTCCAGAGACGCTAAGATGGCAGAACTTGGCAGCTACGTGTTTAATCTAGAAACGTTGATGCAAGGGTCGTTACAAGCAAAATGGACCTGATACTTGACATGTGTAGATGTCATACAAATAGGTTGGACCCTTGTTTCAAACGTC